CTGAAGTTAGCCTGGCATGTTACAAATATATGTGCAGATACTTTCTTGAGGTTTTGTTTTTACAAATGGAAACTATACCCTACATATTCACCATTCTTCGCTACATCTTGGAGGTAATTCCAAAGTGAGTGTCTAAAGACCTTCCTCATTCCCTTTATAGCTAAGAGTCCTCAGTGTGACTGTCCTGTAGTTTATTTAATGCTTTTTTTTTTCTTTTAACCTTTATTTCTGAGAGAGAGAGATGGAGTGCGAGCACGTGAGGGGCAGAGAGAGAGGGAGACACAGAATCCGAAGCAGGCTCCAGGCTCCGAGCTGTCGGCACAGAGCCCGACGTGGGGCTCGAACTCACAAAACGCGAGTTCACGACCAGAGCAGACTGAGCCACCCAGGCGCCCCTATTTAATGCTTTTAAGAGATGAGTTGTGGGGCGCCTGGGTGGCGCAGTCGGTTAAGCGTCCGACTTCGGCCAGGTCACGATCTCGCGGTCCGTGAGTTCGAGCCCCGCGTCAGGCTCTGGGCTGATGGCTCAGAGCCTGGAGCCTGTTTCTGATTCTGTGACTCCCTCTCTCTCTGCCCCTCCCCCGTTCATGCTCTGTCTCTCTCTGTCCCAAAAATAAATAAAACGTTGAAAAAAAAAAAGAGATGAGTTGTCACCCAGCTTGCCGTTAAGCATGTATGGCAGAGGATGACCAGGATGTGCCATCATTTTAATGCAATTTGTCTGTAGGACAGATTCCCAGAGGTGGGCTTGCTGCGTGGGTTAGAGGATCTATGCCGTTTGTAACTTGGAGAGAGATTTCCAAACTTCTCTCTGTGAAGGCTTGTACTCCGCAGCCCTCCCGGCGCCCCCCCCCCACTCGTTCTCCTCCACAGCCTCAGCAGCAGCAGGACAGGTTTGTCTCACCCCAGGAGAAGTTTGGAAGTCGGGTGGCTCAACGACACCCAGGACGCCATTTTTAAAATTCATCTTCTCTTTTGCATCTTTGGTGTTTTTTTGCCTCTCATCATCCCACCATGGCTGCCACAGTTCCAGACATCACATCCCAACCTCCAAAGGTCTCCCCAAGCAGCTGCCCTGTCACTTCCTGGCTGAAAGTGGGACACGTCTATGCCCAAGGCAGGGGGAGTACCAGGGGAAATGGAATATCTGGGGAAAGCATCAAAAGCTGATTCCTGGGGGTAGGGAGAGACCTGGTGTCCCCCCCTCCCCCATTCCCTTCCCTGTGACCCCTCCTTGACTTGAGCAGTAGCAATTTAATGGAAAGAAGAAAAGGGATGGCTCTTCACCTTGTAATACATGTTCTGATAGCAGGAGCCCAGGGCATTGTGGGAATACTATGTATGGAGCATGTAGACGGCTAGGGCTACATAGCAAAGTACCAAGACTTGGTACCTGAAACAACAGAAACATTGTCTCACGGTTCTGGAGGTTAGAAGTCCAAGAGGAAGGTGTTGTTGGCAGGGTTGATTTCTCCTGAGGCTGCTCTCCTTGGTTTGTTGATGGCTGTCTTCTCCCTGTGTCTCACGACCTTCCCTCTGTGCGGATCTGTGTCCTCATCTTTTTTTAAGGACTCCAGTCATTGGATTATGGCCCATCCATAGGACCTTAGTTTACCTTAATTACCTCTTTAAAGACCCTATCTCCAAATATAGTCACATTCTAAGGTCCTGGAGTTGGGACTTCAACATAGGCATTTGGGGGGATGGGATACAAGTCAGCCCATAACAGAGTATCCACTCTGTGTAGGTCCCGTGCTGGGCACCAGGAAGGCAGCGTTGACCCAGCTACAGAAGGTGTCTGAGTGCCCAGGGAGGTCTAGGGGATCTCAGGAGTGCACAGTGGGGGACGCCAGCACTGCTCTGGGGCTCAAAGAGCCTGAGGAGCTGACTGGCTGAGATCTGAAGGGTGAGGGGTGGAACAGAACAGGAGGGTGAAGAGGGCCCCGGGCAGTGGGAACTGTGAGTACAGATCCTGGAACCGAGAGGCTCTGCTTTGAGAAGGCGGGAGGGCAGGAATAGTGAAGGCTGACCTTGGGGAGGAGCTGTGCCCTCCCCCCCGCCCCCATTTCCCCACACTAGGGGTGCCCTCTATTCAAGCCTCAGCCTCTGGTTAGCATCATAGTTGCAAAACATTACCCATGCTGATTCCATTTATAATTCTGCCCTGTCCTTTTCTACGTAAATATGTAAATGTATGCTGTAAATTTTGGATCTACTTCCCCCCCGCCCCCCCTCAGAATGATTAGAATTACAGTTCATCTTGAAGTTGTAGGTCCATCTGACTGCTGATGGAATTTGCCGGACAGGGTAAGGAAACTATTGCCTTCTTCACAGCTGGCAATAAGCAGAAGCTAGTGGGCGCTCTGAAGATGTAATGTGCTAGGGGCACCTGGGTGGCTCAGTCGGTTGAGCCTCTGACTTTGGCTCAGGTCATGATCTCAGGGTTCACGAGTTCGAGCCCCAAATTGGGCTCTGTGTTGGTAGTGGGGAGACTGCTTGGGATTCTCTCTCTCTCTCTCTCTCTCTCTGCCCCTCCTCTGCTCACACTCTGTCTCCCCCCAAGTAAACTTTCAAAAATAAGAAAATGAGGTTAACAACCCCTTTCTGGAAGGTTGCAAACAATTCTGCTCTCCTTAGGACAGCCATGTGGGTGACTCCTCTGATTCTCCTTCACCCATCTCTGCCCACCTTCTGGTTCCTGTCCCAGGGTCCTCACTGGTGTCCCTTATCTCCAGTCTCGCCTCCTCCCTATCCTGCTTGCAAGGGCAGGCAAGAGTGTCAGTCTGATGGATCTTACTCTGTGTAAACCTCCATGGCTTTCACATCCCTTATGATTGGGTCCAAGGGCCTTTGTCTGGTGTTCAAGGCGTTCTGTAATCTGACCCCACCTCCCATGCTCTGCTCCAGGCTTGCTGAGCAGCTGGGAGTTCCCAGAACCTGAAATCCCCAGGCCCCCTACTTGAAATGCCCTTCCCTATGTCTTGGCCACCTGCCTGGAGATCCTCCAAAGGCTTATCTACTTTCTTCCTTGAATTGAATGCCTGCTTATTCTTGTCACAATACAGTACATAACAACTGATAACGGACGATGCCTACATTTGTGGAGCGTTAAGTACGTACCAGGCACTTTCTAAGTATTATACTTGATACCCCTCCCATTAGAAAGTGGAGTTTAGATGCTTCCTGTTGAATATGAGCTGGCCCTGGCAACACAACTTCAGTGGATAGAAAGCGGAGGTGACACTGGTAGAGATGAGACAGCTCTGACCTTGGAATATTTGTCCTTGGAACCCAGCTGCCATACCGTGAGGAAGCCCAAACCGCAGGGAGAGGACACGCCACAGGGAGAGGACACGTGTAGTGACGCCGGTCGGCAGCCCCAGCAGAGATTCGAGGCAGAAGCCAGTGCCAGCCACCAGATGTGAGTGAGGAAGCCTTTAAGGTGAGCCCAGCCCCAGCCAGTTTCTGCAATTGCATTAGATACCTTGAACAAGAACCAGCCCCAGAACCGTGACAGAATAACAATTGTTGTTGCCTTTTACCGCTAAGTTTGGAGTTGTTACACAGCACTGTATAACCAGAACAACTTGCATTAACTGATTTAGTTCTTCCAACAACCCTAGGAGAGGGAATGGCTGGGCAACGCTCCCAAAGTTACAGCATGAGTAAGTGGTAGACCTGGGATGTGAACCCTGGTAGAGGTACTACAGAGTCAGGGTCATAGCCGTCAGTCTCTGTGGCCAAATCCTCAGTCCATATGGTTCAGATGGAACTGAGCCCACCTTGGGCCTTCAGGCACAAGCCCGTAACCCATTATCAGGCCACCTTTGGGCACCACGATTGGTTTGGTGATGGGCTCATAATGAAACTGGATCATTGAGTGCCAGCACTGGAAACTTTGCTGGTTTTACAGAGAAATAGAAATAGACCCACTGGAAGGGTGCCTGGATGGCTCCGTTGGTTAAGCATCTGACTTCAGCTCAGGTCATGATCTCACAGCTTGTGGGTTTGAGCCCCCTGTCGGGCTCTGTGCTGACAGCTCAGAGCCAGGAGCCTGTTTCAGATTCTGTGTCTCCGTCTCTCTCTGCCCTTTTCCCGCTTGTGCTCTCTCTCTCTCTCTCTCTCTCTCTCTCAAATGAATAAACATTTTTAAAAATTACAAAAAAGAAAGAAATAGACCCACTGGAATCATGTAGTTACTGGTCTATCTTAGCTACTGTGAGGAGATCCTGTCCAAAAGTATAGCCAAGAAAAAGATACAGATAGATTCCTAACATTTAAGGACCTAGATACAGCCAATCCTGAAGCTTATCACTGTTGGCTAAAGATACTTTGAACTGAGTTTCTCTTGCTTCTGAAAGAGGCCTGCTACTCTCCCAGTGAGGCATTTCTCTTCTATCCCATCGTCCTGGAGGGCAGAGAATGGGCCTGATCTACCTAACTCAGAACAGGAGGCATCCGTCAATCGTGTCCTATTGGACAGAACTAAAAGGCACACTGCCCCTGCTTTACTGGTGAGGAAACTGAGGCTGTCATAGGGCCTGTGTGTAGGAGGAGGAGGAGGATTAGGAGTAATGCTTACATCCCAGATTTTAAATGAGTCAAGTCATGTGAGGTTGAGGACTGGGATTTGGAAGAAAGGGAGGAAGAAGGAAGGGGGTGTTATGCCAGCCACTGTTGGGTCTGCTTAGAAGGGAAGGCCATGAAGCTTGTCTTGAGGTCTGTACAAGTCAAGGAGCTTCTTGGGCCTCGTGGCACACACTTGGGGAACATACCTCTTGCCCTTGCCAGCCCCTCTTCTGGACCCCTTTCTGTTTCTGACACCTGGATATTCCAAGTTATGAAATTGCTCACAATATAGGCTGTCATTTACATGTTAGTGTGAATCACTTATTAATTCTTGGACCTGAGGCCTCTGAAGTGACATTTCTGGCAGCTATCCTTCCCGCCTGTTTTCCCAAGAAGAAGCCACATCACAGTGCTTTATTCAGTGGGGGACTGGCAACTTTATTCAGTGGGGGAAGAGGGGAAAATGAGCTAGAGTTGGGCTATTTCTCTAATAACCTGGAGAAGGGCTAGTCTCTGGGACTCCAGAAGGAGGGACAGGACTTTGGAAGCTAGAAAAACGGAGAGGGAGAGGGGTGGGCTCTGGGTGTCTTGGGCCGGGTGGGGGGAAGGGACGCATCTTCCATCCAAGGCCCAGCGCCCCCTAGGGGCCGCTGCCGCTTCCACTACCACTCCCGCTGCCCGCAGCATCCAGGATCCAGGTGCGGGAGCGGCGGGACCGCGGGAAACTGATTTCCCGGGCCCTCCGTTCGTGTCTGCGACCCGGCAGTACCGAGATGGAAATGTTGAGGCAGTGATCCGCGCCAGGAGCTGCTACCGGCAGCACGTAGCCCAGGACCGAGCGGCAAAGGTCTGCCCCATCGGCAAAGGTCTGGGAAAAGGGGTGGAGTTAGGGCCCGAGTGGGCGGAGTCCAGGCAATTCAGGGGCGTGGCCTTGGAAACCTAGAGTCCCCGAGTTTCTTTGCAAGTAGGGGCCAGGGCAGAGGCGCGGCCTAGGTGCGGGCAGTTACCCGCTTTGGGTCCTCCCGGGAGTGTGGGAGCAGGGCCATGGCAGGAGCGGAGTACAGGGGAGGGCGAGTTATCCTTCCTGGGCCCCAGGGCTGGGGTGGGGGAGGGTCAAATTAAGATTGGGGCTTTAGAGAAGGTAATTCGGGCTTCTGAGTCTTCCAGGGGGAACTGTGGATGGGCCTAGAGCAGAGACGGTCCCTTGGGGAGGCCAAATCCTGACTCAATGGTCCCTAGGGAGCATACGGACGTATCCCACTATGGAGATTGTGCTGCGGAAGGGGGAAGCGTGGGAACAGGAGCCTTGGGAGTGCCAGTCCGGACTCCGGGCCCTAGGCGGGTTAAGACAGGACATAGTAAGGGGAGGTCCCAGTCTCTCACCCGCACTCTCTATCTCAAGCTCACCTGCTCATAGGTAGCGCAGCCAGGCTCACAGCCCCTCTTTTCTGGGAACGGAAGCCAAGTTGGGCCGCAGGTAATATCGCTTTCGCAGGTGGCAAACCTACGGATGGTGTGTGGAGAGAAGGTGGGCAGTCGCGTTCTGTTGGGATCCTGCCCTCCAAGGCTTCACTCAGTGTATGTCCCGCCCCCAGACCCAGGCCCAGCCTCTTAGGACCACGCCCCAACAGACGCTGTCCTCCAGATTTCACCCTACCGTATATTCTCCACACATACCCGGGGCTCTGTCACAATTGACCTCATCCCTGAAGACTTCATACCATCTATTTCGGGCCAGCCTCTTACGTTCCCCAATCTTTTCAGCTCTCTTTTCTAGCAAGAGGTCCCGCCCCTTAAAAAACCCCAGGTCCGTGGAAGGCCACGCCTCCGTCCTGCCAACCTTAAAAGCCGGGTCCTCTACAGGCCCCCGTCCCTTTTTACCTGGCCTCTAAACTCGTTTTTAGACCTTGGCCTTATTGGAGGCAGGCCACACCCCTTCAAACACAAGCTGCAGATCCCTCCTTTGGTCCCGCCCAAACCATAGGACCCGCCCCTCATGCCCCACCTCCCCTACCAGACATCGCAGAACTCAGAACAGAGCGGCTGCGCCTGGCGTATCCCCAGTAACAGCAGGCGGAAGCGACTCTGGAGGGCAGCTTGGAGATGTCCCAGGAAGGATTCGCACCTGAACAGAGGGAAAGACAGGCTCGTTTGGGTCAGGATGTGGCAGGGCCAACTGAAGCAAAACACACAACGAAACGCTGTTGGGTACTGTACTCACCCAGGGCTCGGCTCCCCACAGCGTTCTGGGACCGCCCCAGGGTCCGATGCCTCTGGCGTGTCCATCTCTGAAGGACAACAGGACCATGGAGAAGGGTACTTCTGTGAGGTGGGGTCTTAGATCCTCAGGTAGGATTGGGGAACTAAGGCCTGGGGGCCCCTTGAACAGGGGAGACCCCAGTTATGCCAGGGCCCCTCAAACACAAAACTTAAATAAAGACACTTCTCTTGGGATCCAAATGCAATTTCTAGTAATAATAAAAATGATGGCTTATCATAATCAGCTTATCGTTCATTACGTCCCTGATAGTGGTACACGTTTTCATATACTTACATACACACCTTCACAACACTATGACGTAGGTCTATTATTTCTCTCCCTTTTTCATGGTCTACAGGAAGCCCAGAGAGATTAAGTGACTTGCTCAGAGTCACACAATTATGAGGTGGGACAGCTGGGATTTGAACCCAGGCAGTCTGAGTCCAGAATCTGTGCACTTTAACTACTATTCTTCAGCACTAGCCCCGACTGCCCACCTCCCCCAACCCGTGCTTCATCCTAAGCCCCTCTCAGAAGGAAAATATGATATTGCTGTGGTGATGTGGGATTTCCTGGGCGTTGGAAGTTAGGCAGGGTCTGGAGTGCTCACCCGCAAGGTGCAGCTGGACTGTGCCGAAATCGGTCGCCAGCCTATGGTGTCTCCGGGACAGAGCTGGGAGTGGGCGGCTCCCTCCACAGGACCCCAGCAGGATCCACACCAGGGTCAGTCTTAGGGCCCAGGGCAGGCCCCTGGGTCGAGTGTGGCCCCTGCAGGCCATGTCCACCTGAGATAAGAGTAAGCTGGGGTATAGGGTAAGGTTTGGTTGTCCCTTTCTGGAAGCTCAGGGTGGCACTCTCCTGATGCCTACTCAGGAGACAGTGCAAGGCAGAACAGAGAATGAGCAGTTGATGAGGAGGCAATGACCAAGGACCTCCAAATCCCAGGGGGCCACCAAGTCGTGCCTCTGACCCAGGAGCCCCTTCTCCCCCACCAGACTCATGTCCCTTCCATCCCTTTAGGCCCAATGCGTCCCACCTTCTGGTTTGACCACAGTTCCCCTCCCCCTCACACCCAGCAGGATCTCCCACCCTGTCAACCCTCAGGTGACTCCCGCTGTCTTCAGAACTAAAGGGACACCCCAGCTCTTTCAATCTCCCTCCTCTGTCCAGCAGTTCCTCCTGCTCTTTTGCCCAGTCTCCTCCCTCCCTCTTGATCCCTGCTGGCCCCTTTCATGGTCACCTTCTCTCGGCCCACAATCGGCTTAGGGGCTTCCACTATGGCTGGCCCTTTGGAGCCAAGCTTGGCTGTGGCAGGACTCGAGTTTTGCTGCTGGAATCCAAAAGCCCCAGGGTAGGGGAAGCTGAGGGTCTGTAGGGACAAGACAATTCCCTCCCCTCCCCTGCCCTCTTGGGCTACCCCTCACCTGTTAAGTGAACTGAGGTCTAGAGCGCTGCTGAGACACCTCACGGTCAAGTGCAAGAAAGAGTGACAGCCAGAGGGGGTGTGGTCTGACGCAGAGGAGGAGTTTCCCATGGCCCCACCCCCTGCCCCAGCTGACCAAAGGCTGGTGGCCCTGAGCTGCTGTGTATATATCCTTGCACTGAGCATTAGGTTGAGATTGTGGCTTAAACTCAATCTGTGTGTATATGTGTTGGATGAGAGTGTGTTTGTATGGCTGTGTGTGTGTAAAGCATGTGTGTTTGTTGGGTGAGGGTATGGTATGTGTGAGTCTTGGTTGAGTGGTTTTGTGTGTGTGTTTGTGTGTGTGTGTGTGTGTGTGTGTGTATGTGTGTGTGCAAAATCTGGCTAAGGAGGCCTGTATGTATCTCAAGCCAAGTGTGTCCAATTGAGTCAGATATAATAAATGTGAAGGACGGGGAAGCAGGATTAGGATGGCTGTCCTGTGACAATGTTGTGGATAAATCAGTGGATAAAGGTTTTTGGCCATGAATGTTGACCATTAGTGAACACAAAGGGGTGTTTATATGTGTGGAGAGAGTATGTGTCTGCATCTGAAACGTATGTGTGTGTTTCTCTGCAGTTTCTGTGAATGCAAGTTTCTTACAAACATTCCCTCAATTCATCCATCCATTCAACAAATGTTTGTTGAGCAGCTGTTGTGTGCCAGGTCCTGGGGATGAAGTAGTGACCAAGAAATGAATATCTCAGCCTCACAGAGCTGACATTATAGTGGGAGAGTCGGTGAGAGGAACAGTCCTGCAGTGGATATGTGAGTGTGTGTGTGTGTGTGTGTGTGTGTGTGTGTGTGTGTTCATGTGTTGTGTCGGGAGGATACTGTGTCTGTGTGCTGGAGGAGAGAGTTTGTGTGTAGCTGAGCTGAGATTGGTTTTGGTATGATGTGTGTGTGCTTGTGTTTGTTGAGTGTTTGTAGATGTTGTCTGTATGTCTGTATTCGCTGCGTGTGTGTATATCTCTGTTTTCTAACACTACTGTGTTTGCATACGTGTGTCTTTGCAGAGTGTGAGTTGATGTGTATATGTGTTTGTGTGTGTCTGTATTTGCTGATTTTGTGTTTGCATTCTGTGTTAATGTGTTGGTAAAGGATTCAGTGTGTCTGTGTTTGCTAAGTGCATATTTGCAATGTGTATGTGTTTGTGTGTGAGTCTGTGTTTGCGGAGAATGTGTTTGTATGTGTGTGTATTTTTGACAAGTACATATTTGCAGAGTGTGTGACTATGTGTATGTGAGTCTGTTTCCTGAGCATGTGTTGGTATGTTCGTGTTCGTGTATATATGTGTAGCGTGTGTGTGTGCCTGTGCTTGTAGTGTGTGCATGTGTTTTGTTTTTTTTTTCAACGTTTATTTATTTTTTTGGGGACAGAGAGACACAGAGCATGAACGGAGGAGGGGCAGAGAGAAAGGGAGACACAGAATCGGAAACAGGCTCCAGGCTCTGAGCCATCAGCCCAGAGCCTGACGCGGGGCTCGAACTCACAGACCGCGAGATCGTGACCTGGCTGAAGTCGGAGGCTTAACCGACTGCGCCACCCAGGCGCCCCGTGCATGTGTTTTTGTGAGCAATGACCACTACCACAAATCTCCCTGTCTTATCAGGCTAATGCAGAGTTTTTGTCTGTCTCTTTCACTATGGGACGCTCAGATCTCAAAACACTACTGTGCACATAGTGCGTGCTCAGTACGTGTTGAGTAAATGAGCCATTTAGGAGGTGCTGTCTCCTGGCCCCTAATGGGCACCCACTAATGTCCTATAGGCTTCAGAAATCAAGATATAGTGGATCTCACCTTCCCCTTGTCCATTTTTGGGTAGGCCAGGGTGCTCGTGTGTCAGATATGTCCAGGCTTTGGGCTATGCCTTTCGCCAATCCTTTCCCTCCCCTGACCTCAGCTCCCAACGCTGCCCTCGGAATTCAGCACCGTGGACAGGAGCGCATGAGATCAGCACCACGGAGAGCTCCCACGAAGCCAGCTTTAGAAGGGGTGACAAAAGCGGAGTCTGGGCCTTCGACAGAGAAGTTTGAGAAACAGACTCAGCGACATGGCAAACAAACATGCCGACAAACAGAAAAACATTGAAATAACTCGGGCAAAGGCACAGAGATGAGGAAACAAGCGTCTGGGGAACACCTGGACCTAGACCTTGCCTTGCCGTCGCCCTCATTGGCCGGCAGGGGTCGCTTCCTTCAGTGACCGCGCCCTCCAGGGCCTTCCTGGCCAATTATGGGCCAGGACCCTTGGGAAGCCCCTTTCCCACCCTACCCCCCCCCCCCCACCAAAGCCTAGACTTGGAGTGGGGAGGTCACCGACGCTTTCCGCACCAACTCTGGGAAGCATAGTCGGCTTGGTCTCAGCTGTAGGAACACTACGGGTGTGTGTGTGTGTGTGTGTGTGTGTGAAAATCGCTTCAGCTGCCCCCCTCCCCAACTACCAGCTAATCGCCCCTATAAATATAGCGCAGCCTGGCCTGGCTACTTAATCCTGACGGCGAGGGAGGGGGTCGTTAGAGGGGCTGCAGGACTCCCTGAAGAGGCTCTGGTTGGGAAGGGGGGCTTATAGGCATGCAAAATGTTTTTCTTTGGGAGCATCTCCCGCGAGGATGGGTGTCCTCAATGTAAATGTCACTCTGTAAGAATGTATCTTCTCGGGATGTGGAGGTCTCGTGGGTGGGGGCAATTTCCCACAAAGAATATGGCTTTTAGGAGGTCTTCCGTTGGGGGTGTCTTCACTAGGCTCCCCACGTTCACCCGTGGGGATTTTTCTCTGCGGAAATGTCTCTTCTTGGGGGCAGCAGGGGGCTTCTGAGAGGCAGCGTCACCTCTCAGAGACCATCTGTCTTAGGAATGATTTTCAGGGTGAGGGGAGAGTTCCTGATTGGAGAGGGCGTCCCCGTGGAGACTGTCCATCCATGGGAATGTGTCTCCCTGAGGGGGTCGCTGCGAGGAGGGGGGAGGGTTCCGCGTAAGGAATATATCTTAGTGAGAATGTCTGTCTCCCTTGGGTGTTTCTTGGGTTGAAAGTCTCTCCATGGGCATGTTTCTCTCCTGGAGTGTCTCTCCTCATAGGTGTCTCCTCGTAGCTTGGCTCCCTTGGGGGCATATGGAAGCTTCTCCCTAGCTTACCCCCTCCCGCCCCTACCCTCCCCCCCGCCCCCCCCAGCGCGGGCAGCCTTGGGCGGGGCCGGGGGGGGGGGCCCAGACGCAGGGACGGCGCGGGGGCCCCCCCCCTTTCCACTCCCCCCCCCCCCCCCCCCCCCCCCGCCGCCGCCGCCGCCGCCGCCGCCGCCGCGGTCCCCGCGGCTTCTCACTCCCTCCCTCTTCCCTCCTCCCGCCGCCGCCGCTACCGCCACCTCCCTCCTCCCTCCCCGGGGCCGAAGCCGCCGCCGCCATGGACGATTCGGGCCTGATTCGCCGCCGGAGGCTGCAGGTACGCGGCAGCCCCGGTCCCGGGTGGCGGTGAAGGGGTCGGAGCCCTGAGGCGGGGCCCGGCAGGGGGCGGGAGAACTTGCGCCTGGGCCGGCCAGGGCGCCCCCTCCCACGGCCTCGGGACGCTACCAGAGGGGAACTCGGTAGCCGCGCGTCCCGCCGCGCTGGCGACCCCGCCCCTCAGGCGCCGCCCGGGGCTCCAGGGAGCTGACGGAGGGGGTGCAGCCTAGCGCTCCCCCTCGAGGATAGCCTGAGGGGCACCTGGCCCGCCAGAGGGGGAGGGGGCTGGGACCGAAGTCATCGCCCTGGCTCGGCGCCAATCTGGGGGTGAGGGGGCGCAAAGCAAAGTTAGTGCCCCAGGGCTCGCTCCCCTCGGGGCAACCGGCGCCGCAGAGGCAGTAAACATGTTTATACTGCAGCCTCGCCCCTCAGCACCCCAGGAACCCCTTTCTGAGGCATGGGGAACCCCTGCGACCTCCATGCATCTGCCCAGCCACCAGGATTCTTCCTACTGCCCTAATTGGACAGACACCCTAGACAGCCTCCCTCCTCACTCTTCATTCCTCCTCCCTTCACTCCCCCCCCCCCCCCCCGCCGCGAGATCCTCAAGTCCAGCCCAGCTTGTGGGTGGGCGGGAGCGATTTTTAGCTCCTTGCAGCCTTAGGAGATACTGGTCTCCAGGCTGCGCAGGCGCGGGAGTGAGTCCACTGCACAGAGTGGGACACTGAGGATTGTGGAGTGTGGGGAAATCCAGGCGTCAGGAACTCCCACCTTCAAGATGGGTGGGGATTCTGAAGCTGAGAAGAGTTCTTTTCTACTATCTTCTTACTGCGTTTCTAAGGGTTAATACGAGGGTTCGATGTTGTCCCTAAACTGACCCCAGCGAGGAAACTGATCAAAGCTTCATCTCAAAGCCTGCCTGGGGTCTGGTCCTTCTGATCCTCCTTGGAGCCCAGACCCACGCTACATAATCTGGAGGAGTTTAGATAAAGCCTAGGTGGCTCCAGACTCAGGCTACATCCTAGCCTGGAGCTTGGACAAAGAAGGGGAGGATTCAAACCCTCATCCAGGGTCTACTTCTGGACTCCTCTAACCTACCATCCCTGAAGTTGGAGACCAAGATAAGCTGATCCGTCACTGCAGCAGGAAAAATCGGAGTTAGGTGATAGGAGGGACTTCCCAGGTGTCTGGAGGATGCTGGAGACAGAACTGGGTTGGAAAGCTAATTTGCTTTCGAACAGAGCCCAAATGGCTCCATCTAAGAGCCTTGGGCTCTTGAGAACTTCCCTGGATTCCCACCCGTTTTAGTGCTGGGGTGGGAAAAGGGGTTGTGGGAAAAGGGAGGAAGGGGCGGCAAAGCCAGAGCAGGTGCTGAAGCAGCCAGACTGGGTCCGCGCCGTCGGGTCCCCAGGAGAAGGGCTGTAAGGGGCGGAGCCTACAAGACGGTGTGTTCCCGCCCTCCGGGCCTGCGCCGACTCCCATTGGCTCATCGCCACGCGGGCCTTCCAACGCTCAAGACCCCGCCCCCAGCCTGGGATCCTCCCACTCACCCACCGTTCCTTCCTGAGGCAACCCCTAGTCTGTGCTATCCCGCCGGAGTCCTGTCCCTACCTCTTCCTTTCTGGCGGGATTAACCACTTCGCTGCCTTGGATACACCCCACCCACTGATGCAACGCCCTAGGAGCTGTCCCACAACTGCGGAGCTCCCGAGGGCCTCCAATTGTGTGCAGCTGGGATCGTATATACGAACAGCATCCTGAGTTCGAAAGCCCATCCCCAGCGCCGTCCATCAACCACTGGGAGAAGCAGAATCTGCTTGGCAGAGCTTCTCTGCAGCTAGTGATGGAGGTGGCGTCTGTGTACTCTGACGCAAGGATCCAAATCCCCTACTTCTCCAGTTTGCCCTTTACTTCTATTCTAGAATATTTAGGAGCGCTAGCAAATGGGGCTAGGTTCGAGGACTACTTGGGAGGTGTTTAAAGGTCCCCAGGGGCTCACCCTCGAAGGCCGAGTGTACCCGGATCTGGAATCCTGGCCTCCGTGGCCGAAAAATCCAGGTCTAGATTTCGCTTGGGCCATTGCGGTCGTCCCACCCAGCCGGCTGGTCCCAGCTGCTCCTCATTCAAACGGATCCTGCAAAAACAGAGGGAAAACCTGGAATGGATTTCTGGTCACCCGTGGCTCAGGGGAGCATGACTGGAGATCTGGACAGTGTTCTCTTTGACCCCAACCATATGTCTGTCCTCTGTCCATGGGAGTGGGAGGTACCTTTGGCCCATCCTCTGTCAAGCAGCATGTCCATTCATAATAACTCCTGCTCCTATGACCTAATATTTATTGAGTGCTTACTATGTGCTAGGCCTCATGCTAAGGTGCCAGGCACCTGAATCATCTCACAGAGTCATCTGTTGGAAGGTCTGCTGGACCTTCTTTGGAAGGTCATTTGCCAAGGTTATAAGGTCATTGGAGTGTTGGAAGGTCATTTGCCAAGGTTATAAGAGGCAAATCTGAGCTTTGAACGCAGGGCTTTCTGCTTTCAGAGATCCTAGAAAGGATCTAGAACATAACTCATTTTCCCCTGGTTAGAGTCCATACCAAAAGGCTTTTGAAACTCTCACCAGAATCTTCCATCTGCAGCCCTACCCAGCCTCCTTTATTCACTTTGGCCTGTGGACACTGAACTGGATGGAAGGTGGCACTCCTTCTGCCCGATGCTTTCCTGGGAAGAGGGCACAGACTTCCATAACTTTTAATCCCTATAGTGGCTTCCCGAGTGCTTGACAAACAGAACGCAACCTTCTTCTGGTCTGGACACATAAAGTTAATAGTTAGCAATTGTCATTACCATTATCAAAAAAGACCACTTGGCCATTGTCTGGTTCCCATTGCAAATTTCAGTTTTGAGCGACCCTAATTATCCCACCCCCAACACTGAATCTGTCTGGGAGTGGGGTAGAACCCTTGGGGTGCGGAGTCACTCATTCATTCAACTTTCATGCTTGAACATACCAAGTCCATTCCTGTCTCTGGGCCTTGGCAGTTCCTTCTACCTGGAATGCTCTCTCCATAGATTCTTCCATGGCTGGCTCTTATTTTTTCAATAACTATCTTAAAAGCCACTTCCCCAGAGCAGCCCTCTCTGACTATTGTGTCCTCCTCCTAGCCATTTTGCATCATATCACCTTAATTTTATTAATGACACTTATTACTGTTTAAAATTATCGTGTTTACTTCTGTGTTAATTTGTGTATTGTCTGCTTCCCTTCTTTATTTTTAAAAAAATTTTTTTTCAACGTTTATTTATTTTTGGGACAGAGAGAGACAGAGCATGAACAGGGGAGGGGCAGAGAGAGAGGGAGACACAGAATCGTAAACAGGCTCCAGGCTCTGAGCCATCAGCCCAGAGCCCGACGCGGGGCTCGAACTCACGGACCACGAGATCGTGACCTGGCTGAAGTCGGACGCTTAACCGACTGCGCCACCCAGGCGCCCCTGCTTCCCTTCTTTATATGCTAGTCCCAAAAGGGCAGGAGGTTTTTCCTCATTTGCTGCTGTGTCCCCAGTGCCTAGCACAGGGCCTGGCATACAGCAGGTGCTCAAGAAATATTTTCCACATAGGCTCCTGTTTAATTTGCACACACATGGAGGTGCCAACTCAGGAGTCCTACATTGGGCTCTGCTGGTGTCTGGGATCGGAAGAGAAATCACTCTGGTACCCTCCCCCCCAAAGAGCCCCGCCCTCCGTGCATAACGTAGGTGTGGGTGAGGATGCTGATGAGTAGCTTGTCCCACCCAACTTTTGCCGCTCCAGGGGGTGACAGAGCTTGCAGGCAGCAGCTGCTGGTCCACTCTGACCTCTATCCTTTTGCCCCCTTGCCTTCTAGAAGGATTTGCCTCTGCCCCGGAAAAGCAGCAGGTGAGCCTTGGGGAGAGATGCGCAGGGCCGGCCGCCCCTTTTCGAGTCCGGGTGGGGGCGCCAGGCGCGCGCGCGCGGGCGGGGCCTGGAGCGCTGGTGAGCAGCAGCGCCCCCTCCTGGCGGGCGGCAGCGGCACGGCCCTCCCTTCCCCCGCCCTCCCCTGCCCGCTGCGGCTCCAGCCTCCGCCCCGCGCGCTCGCTCCCCGCGCCGCCGCCGCCACTGCCGCACCTGCCACCATGTCGCCGCCGCCGGGTCATGTCTGACTCCCTCTGGACAGCGCTTTCCAATTTCTCGATGCCCTCCTTCCCTGGCGGCAGTATGTTCCGTCGCACCAAGAGGTAGAACCCCATCCCTCAGACCCTGACCCGGCCCTCCCCACTAAAGCCGCCCCTCCGGCCGCTGCCGCAGGGCGGGGCCCGGGATGCTGCACCCCGTCCAGCTGCGCCAGAGGTGCCCGTGCGGCGCCTTCTGCAGGGGATGGGGCTGAATTGGGGGACAGTGTGGGCCGAGACTGGGGGCACTGTGCGCCGGCGAGGACCGCTGCAGGGGGGAGGAGGCTGCGCCGGTTGTTGGGGGGGGGGGTGTTGCGGCGCCTTTGTCTGCTGGCGCTGCGGGCTCCGGCAACCCAGTGGGGGTAGGGGAAGAAGGGGAGGGTGGGGGACTTGGCACCCTCGGAACAATAGCCGCAGCCTGGCCTCCCCCCGCCCCCATGCCGCGTGTTCTTGGCCTCGCTAATGTGCTCAGTCACTGTGGCAGGGGGTGAGGGGAATGGAGGGGCTGGGGGCTCCCTCTTCACAATCTGGGATCCTGAGGGGCAGAAGGAAAAGGGGGGGCTTTATCATAGCACAAACTACCCCCCACCAAGAACACAGCCTCAGCCGGAAAATAGTGACACAGAGCGTCACGTAGGACATGATGTCACACACATGCACACATTACAGCCCTAGTGGCCCAGATACACCCTGGAGCCATCACGCATACAGTGGCTGTAGGTCAGAGTCATGCCCACCCAGACACACGGGGGCACCCCCAGCGTCACACACAGATGAACAGCCCAACAGGTACAGTGTTGTGTATGTACATCTAGGAAGATGTCACATGCATGACGATACACACACACGATTATGGCATCCAGGACGCACACAGACACATGTATGGCAATGACATCTATGCACCCAAGAATGTCACAGCACATGATATCACCTAAGCTTATCACATGCGGTGTTACACAGATGGCAGAATAAATGACACAGGGAATCTCGCAGAGACGGAGAGATACACAGTATCATACCGCATCATAGAGAAGACTCATCCAGGGAATGTCACACATGGTGGCAGGCTCACAGGGTATGAAACTCACACACAGTAGATGCCACCCGTGGACACACATGGGGAATGTCACACACATACACAAGGGCAGGGTATCACAAAGACACAGACACATGTAGCAAAAATCATGCACGCACGCGCTCTAACACACAAGGGCACATCTCGTCATGGGCAAGTGGCATGGCACACTGTTCCACACAGACGCAAAAGGCACAGGTCCTATCACATAAGGTCAACCCAACCCAGTGCTGAACTCACACACTGGGCGCCACACGTGGATACACACAGAGGATGTCACGCACAGCCCCCAAGACAATATACGCTCCTATCATTCCATGACTGACGCCGTGCCTCCCATGGTCACACATGATCCACACAGGTAATTTTGGACACACGTGCCACACGCACATCCCTTCCCATACGCAGCCCTGCCTAGGCCTCCATCACCTCCTCCTCCGAGCAATCCTCTGGGGGCACCTCCAAGCACACACAGATGGGAGACAGGCGGGGATCTGAGATGGGAAGGTGGCTGGCTGGTTGGGTTCACAAACTCACTGGGCTGCGGCCCGGCCCGGTCCCCTTGCCTCGCCTTCCCCGCAGCTGCCGCACCAGTAACCGGAAAAGCCTCATCCTGACCAGCACTTCGCCCACGCTGCCGCGACCCCACTCCCCACTGCCTGGACACCTGGGTGAGACAGGTGGTGGGTGCGGACCAGACTAGAGGAGGCGTGGCTACGGGGTAGGGGCGTGTCCGTGCCGCAGGATTGGGCGGAGACTGAACAGAGGAGGACCCAGATTGGGCAAAGGGCGGGACCATCTTGTGTGGCAGTGGTCAATCGGCTGAAGGGGCCTTTGTGGGCGGAGGCCCAGGCGGAGCAAGACTGTGAAGAGGCTGGGGTTGAGGGGAGGTACCGTACCTGAAGGGCGGGGCCATCTCAGATGTAGACAGAATCGGCCTGATGGGGAGCTGGGCTGACTCCATAACCAAAACAGTCTAGAGAGGCGGGGCTACAGCTAAGGGGGCGTGGTCCACTCTTACGTGGGTGGGACGAGACTAAACGGGAAGGGCTGCTGTTGGCAACCCGCTTTGGGGATTGAGCGGCCTGGTGGGATTGCCTCCCATGCCAAGCTTTAAGATCCCCCTCTTTCCGCTACAGGTAGCAGTCCCCTGGACAGCCCCCGCAACTTCTCCCCCAACACCCCCGCCCACTTCTCGTTTGCCTCCTCCCGAAGGTGAGTCCCTCTCCCCGGGGCCCTAGAACCCTGGCCGGACCCTCCCCAACCACCGTCTGGGCCGCCATCTGTTCCCCTCCTAATTGCACCTGAGACGGGGCCTGAGGGACCCGCAGAGTGCCCCAGCGTCCCAGCGGGAATAAGCGCCAGGCCTTAGGGGCGGGGCCTATGAGAAGGCGGGGCCAACCGCCTATTCGGAATCAAAGGGGGAGTGGGACTTCCTTTGCCGCGGAGCGAAAGCGCGTGCGCTCTGAGCCCAGGGTCTCAGTCTCCCCAGCCTCTAGCTCCAGGACGGGCGTCTCCATAGCAACAGGACAGGGAACGGAGATGAAGTGCGCAAGCGCAGACTGCAAGATGCCCATTGAGGGACTTTGGTCTCCAACGTGAGAAAGGGCACCTAGAGCTATTTCTCCAGGGCCCGAGAGGAGCAATCATAGGTTTCCCTACGGGGATCTTTGAGGGTTTCTAGAATGTCACTAATGAATTTTCTTGGGGCCTTTGGCGAAATTGGGGGAGGCAGAGAGATTCCTCCGATGCGTTTTGGAGAAACTTCTGGGAGTCACCAGGATGTTTGGGCGGGATTCTTTTTCTTTGAACTTTATTCATTCTAAAAACGTTGTCTGAACACGTGGTGCGAGCTGGGAGCTGAGCATAAGGGGTGAATGACAGTCTTTGTCCTCGGGGTTGAGTTGGGGTGGCGGGCCAGAGAACGCAGATCACTGCAAAGACTGGTGAAGGCTGTCGTGTGGAAGTCACGCAGGACTGTGGGAACAGAGGATGCCTCCCTGGGGTGGCTGCGGAGAGATCCCCTTGGCTGCGGAATTTGGCTGAAGGCATTAGGGAGCCAGAAAAGGGCTCTAAGATTGGAACCTGATCTGGTCGCTTGCATGGTGGGTGGGCTAGGAGGGCCCCGCTCCCCGGAGGGAGGCTAATGCCTGGGAGGGTGTGTCCCTGTGATATGCAATCTTTGTGCTGATGTGGATGTGTGAATGTAGGCTTGTGAGATTGTGGTCGTGTGAGGCGGCCCTGCCCGCACATATGCCCACGGGGGCGTGCATCAGCGTGCAAGTGTGAGCGTGTGTGAAGGTATCCCTGTGCATTTGTAAATGTGTGTGAATGCGTGACAGAGCATGCCCTTCCAAGTACGTTTCCATGTGAGTGTGCAATCTGGTGGGAGTGTGAATGAATGTGTGGCTGCGTGGGAGTTTGAATGTGTGACTGAGTGCGTGAGCGTTCTCGAATGTGTCTGTGTGAACGTGGCAGAGTAGAACGGGTGTGAGGGAGTGTGCGTCTTTGTTTCAGAGTGTGAGTACTCCATCTCTACGTGTACGTGTTCGTGTGTGTGTGCGTGTACGTGTGTGTGTGCATGCGTGATGGTGTGTTCGTGTAGGGAAGCGTGCGATTGGGGCCCGTGTACGGGTCAGGGGTTGTGTGTGTGTCCGTGTTGAGGAGTCATGCGTGAAGGTGCATGATTGTCAGTGTGTGATCTCAGCCACACGAGTCACACTAACACTAGCAGGTGTGGCCGTGGGAGTGACCGTATCTGTGTGTGAGTGAGCAGATGTGGGAGGATGTGGCAGCGTATGTATTTGAAAAAGAGGGGCCTTTCTTCTCCGAGAAGGCTCAAGTGGCCTCAGTCTGAGCACTTTATCATGGGGGCAGCTTTGGGGATTCCTGATCGTTGCTCCAGGTCCCTGGTGCCCGGCTGGAAGACTTCCTCCTTACCTCTGTGGCTCTGAGGGCCTTTCGGAATCGTAGAGCACAGATATACCCCCAGCCCCTACCCTAGTGGTAGCCAGTAGCTTCCCCCACACCCTGAGGACGGGGAGGGGGGGGGAACCAGTGGGGCCTAGCAGCCTCTGAGCATCTTGGCTGGGTTCCAGGGCGGACGGACGCCGTTGGTCTCTGGCTTCACTTCCTTCGTCCGGCTATGGCACCAACACACCCAGTTCCACCGTCTCGGTGAGTCGGCAGGTGGGCGAGTGGGCGGGAGCCCTCACCCAGGCCAGCAGTTGCGCTGGCCTTAATGAGGGTTTTGGGTTTCTCTAGTTTTCCAAGGTATCACCCGTCCATCTATTGGCAAGTTACAGGTCCCCTTGAAAGCCCTGTTCTCCACCCTCAGCATATCTTCTTGGGGGTCCTGCCTATCGCCGACTTATTTTACAGATAATGGTATTAAGGCTCACGGGTCGAACCACTTGCCAAGGGTCTCAGCTGGCCGGGGCCAGCACACTCTTCCCCCAGAGTGCATTTGCTCAACCACCGCAATACCCAAAGTCTCTCTGCACCTACCCCCTTTTCTGCCTGTGTCTCTGGTCCACTCATCCATCCATTGGTATGATGTTCAGCAGACATTTATCATGTGACTGGCTGTCATATGGCGGGTGGGCTCTATAAGGTGGGCCAGGATCCAAGGATTCATGCAGCCCTCATGAGGGGAGACAGACCAGTAAGAAGATATTTACAATACAGGGTGTTGGAGCTGTTTTGGGAGTGGCACCAGGTAAGGTGATAACAGGAGGGAGCACCTGACTCAGCTGGGGGGGAGGGTCAAGGAAGGCTTCCTGGAAGAGGTGGAATTGAAGCCAAGACAAAGGATCAGTAGGAGTTTGGCAGGTGGAGGAAGGAAAGGAGGGGGGTTTCACGAAGAGGACCAGGGAACAGCATGTGCAAACTCCCAAAGGCAACAGAGAACTTGTTGCATTTGAAAGTTGAAAATAACCTCAACTGGCTGGAGCTTTGGGGTGGAAGTGGAGAACGAGGGTGAGGTAGGCAGTGACCCTGGTCATGCTGGGGCTTCTCAGCCAGGGCAGGGTGGTGGATCTTCTTCTAAATGTGACGGGAAGCCATACAAAGGCTTTTTTTTTTTTTTTTTTTTTTTTGCTTTATATTAAATTTTACTAAAATTTCAGCCTGAGCTATTTGACATTGTGGTTCTGTAGATCATATGTTATGCACATTGAAAAAATTATTTTAATAGATACTGGTGGGATGGGGAGTGAGTGATGTAACGTTTCAAAAGACCCTTCTGCCTGCAGAATCAAGTGGATATCTTTGTGTTTCTCCACTGATATCTGCGAGTCTGTGTTTGCCCGACTGCGTGCTAGACCCTGACTAGGGACCAAGGAGAACCAAGTCTCTGCCCTCAAGGAGCAGGCAGCAATAAAAATTAATAATAAAGATATAGTAAGTCAGGAGATAAATACAGCAAAAAGAAACAAGATAAGGCAGGGATAGGGGGTGAGGGATGTGTGTTCAGAGGGGTGAATGTCACCCACAGGGGTGACATTTAAGCAAAGATGTAAAGGAGGAGTGATCTGTAGTGATATGCTCCTGACAGAGGGAGCATAGGCCCCTCAATGCAAAGGCCCTGAGGCAGGAGTGTGCCTGGCTTGTTCAAGGACCATCCAGGAGGCCTGTCGCAGCTGGACCGAGTAACTGATGGGGAGAGTGGGCGGAGGTGATGGCAGGGAGACAGGACCAGATCTTGCAGGATGTTGTGGGTCTTGAGGAGGACTTCAGGGTCCATACTGAGTAAGGTGGGAGCCACAGAGCGTTCTGAACAGAGGAGGGATATGACTTGATTCAGGCTTTAACAGGCTCCCACTGGCCACATCTGTGTGTGTCACAGTTCGCATCCGTGTCTGTCCCCGTCCCCCCTGTCTATCTCCAGGAGTCCCAACCTGGACCCTGGGATCCAAGGATCATAAACCGGGTCCTGATCCCGACCCTGCCCAGTGGCCCATCAGCCCCAGGAGTCCCAGCCCAGGGTCGCGAGCTGTGGGGGGACTGCGGTGGCTCTGACCCCGGCCCCGCTCCTCCCCCCAGTCTTCCTGCTCCTCCCAGGAGCGCCTGCACCAGCTGCCCTACCAGCCCACCGTGGATGAGCTCCACTTCCTTTCCAAACACTTCGGCAGCACCGAGAGCATCACAGACGAAGATGGTGGCCGCCGCTCTCCTGCAGTGCGGCCCCGCTCGCGGAGCCTCAGGTGGGTAGATAACCTCCCTCCACCCCAAGTTGATGGTCTGGGGGGGGGGGGTTGTGAGACCTCTGCTCACGCGATTAAACGGGTTACAGCACGATGGGTGAAGTTTTACGGGGGAGCGGGGGTGGGATCTAACACCTGGCTGCTTTCGGAGGTTGGGGGCTACACAGGATGGGCTTTTCTCCCCGCAGCCCCGGGCGCTCCCCCTCTTCCTACGACAACGAGATCGTGATGATGAACCATGTCTACAAGGAGAGGTTCCCGAAGGTGAGGCGGGGCGGGGGGCGGCCGCGGGGAGGCCCGGGCGGCGGGAGCCCTCGCTCGCCTTAGCTCCGCGCGCCCCCTGGTGGCCGGCGCGCGCAGCGCAGGCTCCCGGCGGCCACAGCCTCCGGGCGCAGCCCCGCGCCGGCACCCCGGCCCTCTGTCCCCCTCGCAGGCCACCGCGCAGATGGAGGAGAAGCTGCGTGACTTCGCCCGTGCCTACGAACCTGACAGCGTGCTGCCGCTGGCCGACGGCGTGCTCAGCTTCATCCACCACCAGATCATCGAGCTGGCCCGGGACTGCCTGACCAAGTCCCGCGACGGCCTCATCACCACCGTGTACTTCTACGAGCTGCAGGAGAACCTGGAGAAGCTGCTGCAGGATGTGAGTGTGTGTGTTTCGGGGGGCGCTGGCTCGGTCAGGCCCGACGCCTTCTTTCACCCCACTTCCGTTCAGAGGGCGCCTACCACGTGCCGGGCGCCGCCGTGGAACTTCAGGGGTGGGAGAGAAAGACGTGGTCCCAGTGCAAGGACGTGGTGCTCGTCTGGAGTGGTGGGGGAGGCAGGGACTTAACCTCCCTCACCTCCTTCAGGTCTTTACTCAAATATCAGCATCTCAGGTGGCGTCTAGACCCCCTTATTTAAAATGTCAAACCCACGACCCACCGT